AATTTATTCTTGACATTTGAGTCAATTTCTAGGATTAAAGACTCCTGATCTTTCGTCAAAAATTTCATAATTCCGCTCAAAACGATCCCAGAACAATGAATTTGCGAGACGAACAGGCCGCCATGAATCAGGTAAAACAATATGTTACATGCAATTTGATTGGTCCAATCGCTTGTAGTTAACCAATCGCTGGGCCGTTTATAATCGCGCTAAGACTTCCGCAACAAATAATGCCTTCAGTGATCTGATTAGTTGAAGCTTTCATACACGTCCAATCGCAGGGCTGTTTACAAACGGAAAACGGAGAGACTGTTCGGGAGAGCTCGTGAAAACTCGACGATAAGGTACCTGACCGCCCCAAAAATTTTCTCAACGGATTTAGACGATTCACAAAAATGATCAATTTAAGAAATAAAACGGCGGATTTCCGCGGATCCGCGGAAAATTGCCATGTATGATTTTGGCTCATGTTCCATTCGTTTGCAAACCGTGCCACTGAGACATTAAGTAGTTCCAACAAGATTTCTGAGCAACTGGGGCTTCATTATTTCCTATTGTTCAAGGAGCAATTGTGACTCAGTGATGTTGATAAATGACTATATTAAAATATGACGTGATATATTTTTTGCAATATGTTTTTCACCATTGCATGTCGCCATTTTTGGAAGATGTTTTGGCATAGGTAACTGACTCCAAACATCCTTATTTATCTGGGCTTGGGATCTGCACGCATTTGGGTTGAGTCACAATGGAGATCTTGTTTTTTTTTCTTTGTATGTTTCACAATTGGACAGGATTCAAGTCGCTGGTGCATGTACACAAAACCTTTCTTGGTTAACCGTTAGAGGGCACCAAATGTACACAGTTGATGTAAGTCAACGGGAGGAAGAGGGAGAAAGTCAACAACTTGTGTCAGTGTCAGACATTTGCCACTTTAAAAACATTCAGACGAGTGGGATTTGCGGAACATGACACAGATCATATGCAATCTAACCTTACAAAACAATGAGGAAACAAGAGGTTTGTTACCATCATTCAAAACGTTAATCGCACTATCCAAAGTCTACCAGAGAATGATATTCGAGTCGATATAATGAACAGCCGGAGGTGTCCTGCTCACAGTTAAAGTGCTAAGACTGAAGCAGCAGGCTGAGTGAATATGGACTAGACCAGGGGTGCCCAAACCTTCTTTTAGTGAAGATCGACTTTTCGATCAACCAACCTCCCGCGATTGACCCGTGACCACACACACATACACACGCACGCCATGATGACACGGAGGCATGGACACACTTTTGCAGCCTGTTAACGATCGTAGCTCACAAGTACCGTTTTAAAGTGCTTTCCTCGGCCCTCTAGATTCCTATTCTTTGCCCGTGCCCTCGGTGAATTGTACACGAAACAAACTCTGAATGAGAATAATGACGACGATAAAAGATATAGCGCAACAGCTCTGATCACAAGCTGCAATTGCAGACTGCTGAGCGCTAACAACTTCCGGTGACGCAGGTGATGTGTCACCGTAGGTTAAAGATTTACCTGCTTTATTATATTTTATTTTTTAAATACTTTTTGGTGAAAGTGAGACTGATATAATGAATTATTACTAACATGCACAAAGACACACAAATGGTTGGGGTTTTTTTTCACCTCTACACCACTGGTGATGGACTTTGAACCAGTCCGTGATCTACCGGTCCATCACGGTCGACGTAATGGACACCCCTGGACAAGACATTTCCTGATGGAAACTGCTAGCACGGTTGTTGTTGATCTGTTTGGCCATTCAGGAACCTAATAAACTGAACCTTCTTCAAATCCACAACTTCTCTCAGAGTGCCTGTTCATTCCAGTTGAGGTTATGCAATCTGCATGTGAAATGTCAGCGTAGGCAAAGGCTGCAAATGTGTTCTTTGTTTTCAAGCCAAGAACGAAAAATAAAATATTTTATGAGAGACAAAGCAGCCAGAATTGTTTTTATACAATTGTGCCTCTGGAGTGCCTGTGCAGCCATCAAGTGTGAAATTAAACAACCAGCTGCTAGTTGTCAATTTCCAAAAATAACTCTGAGCAAAGCTGTTTGTAATTTTACGTAATACAGTCCGTAAATACGTACACTGCTGTGAAAAAGTATTTCTCCCATTCTCAAATCAGTGTTTTCTTGCATAGTTTCCCAACTTCAATGTCTAGGATCATCAAAAAAATGTAAATATCAGACAAGGATAACCCAAGTAAATATAAAATGTAGTTTTTAAATGGTGACTGTATTAAAGAAAAAAACCTAGTCAAAGCAACCTGGCCCTGTGTGAAAAAGTATTTGTCACCCTTGTTAAAACATGCACTACGGAAATCACAAATAATCCATGGGATAATCAATAGGATAACCGATTCTATAGAGATTTGTTAGTGACAGCCCCAATTCTTGTTTTGCTAACCTTTGTAGTCAATGGAAGGATTGGATGCGCCAAGGATCTTCGGTGTGGCCACACCCATGTCTAATTCTTTCAGAGCTAGCTCATTCATGAAGTATGGCAACTGGAAAAGAGAAGAAGAAATTACTTTTTCCCCAAACATATTTTATAATTTGGAATCACATTAAAAAAAATAAGACAAAAAGTACAATCCCAAATTCCAATGGGACCTTGTGTGAAACAAATAAAAACAGGAGTTCAAATCCATTTTGACCTATTCAATTGGAATAAACAACAAAGTAACAATATTTAATATTGAAACTGATGAACGTAAACAGGTAGGTCATTACAATGAGTTCCCAAAAAGCTGAGACAGGAAGGAGCAACAAAAGACTGAGAGAGTTGAGAAAAACTCAAAAAACACCTGTTTGGAACATTCCAGAAGTGAACAGGTTAATTGGAAACAGGTTAAGGTCACGATTGGGTAAAAAAGGAGAATCCCCGAAAGGCTCAGTTGTTGACAAGGAAGGATGAGGCGTGAGCGAAAAGACCAACAGTTTTGGTACATTTCTCAACAAGCAAGGGATTTAGGGATTTCATCATCTACGTTCGCTAATATCACAAAAGATTCAGAGAATCTGTGGAAAGCGGCAAGGCCAAAAACCAACAAAACATTAAAAACCTGTGACCTTTGATCCCTCAGGTGACACTGCATACAAAAAGCTGGCATCATTGTGTAAAGGAAGTTGCCATGTCGGCTCAGCAACACTTAAGAAAACCACCAGTTAACTCGTAACGTCCCGTCTAGCAAGATTTTGTAATTTCTGTAAAATCTCATGAAATGTTCTTGCGAGCCTCGCAACAGGATGTGAAATCATTGAGAGGTAAAGGGCATGCAGGATAAATTTCCATGGTGATCCCCTCCCTGGGGCACGACGGCCCCCTGGCCGGGCGCACTTCCCCCGCTGCGGTGTACCACGACCGGCTCCGGGTGGACCTGGAAAGGATTGGGGAGGCCTAGGGGTTTCGGCATCCGTCGCACTGCCATGCCCTACAATGCTCCCCTGCCTAGACCTCGCCGCGGCAGGACAATGCTTGCTGTGCCCTTCACTCGGACGGGCCCCCCCCCACTCCCGGCGCGGCCTCCCAACAGCAAGTCATGTTTCACTCTGTCTCCCGTCAGGCCTCCGTCAAACCTGCACTTGTCGCTGTAGCTGCTGGAGGTATTGTCACATGACGTGGTAATGCAAAAAGTAAATGTGTTTTCATTATACTTTTGCAATATACTTTTATTTTGACATGTCTCAAAAACCACCTCATGACAGCATAAAAACTTTTTGGTGACATTTTTTTTTCCCCAAAATGTAAGTGTTTTTCCCACCCTGTTTTTATGCGTTTCTGAGGGCAATGTTAAAACCAGCTGGCATAGGGGTGTGTGCTTACTATTACTATTTATGCAGAAAGGTACATACGGGTTTTGGAGCAGCATATTCTGCCACTCAAGCAACGCCTTTTTCAGGAATGCTCCTGCTGATTTCAAGAAGAAAATGTCACGCTAAATTTGGCAGATCTGTCTCTTGAAAACGTGTAGAATGTTATGAAGCTCAAAATACAGTCAACAGAGATCTTGGACAGTTGAGCAGCTGCAAGGGTTGCATCGAGCAAGACTGGGAAAGAAATCCGCCTACAAACATTGAAAATGTGGTGTCCTCGGTTCCCAAATGTTTGATCGAGTGTTGTGAGGAAGGAAAGATGAGGTAACATAGTGCTAAACATTTTATAGCTTTTTCAAAATGTATGAAAAGGTATCAAAAATGTGATCAGTTTGAAGATTGGATGTCTTGTCCTTGTAGTGCATTCAACTAAATGTATAATGAAAAGGATTTGAAAAACAAGAATTCCGTTTTTATTTATGTTTTACACAACGTCTCGATTTAATTTGAATTGAATTCTGTACACCACAACTACAGAGAAATAACACGCCAAGAAACCTTGTTTGTACATGTCAGTCCCTTGTGGATATGTCTGTGCTCAGACATTTTCCAGCATGGGACTGAGACTACAATCTCAACAAATTGATGAAGAAAAGAAATTAGGACCTATTATGGAGTCTGCAACTATATTATTGTCAAACAAATAATGCCTAGAAGACAGGAAACAAATGGTGAAGTTAAAAAAAAAAGATTCTTAAATTAAAACGCCACTGTCTGAATCCTTCTCATGTCCCATTCTAAACCTTTACAAATATGCAAAATTACTTTCTTCACTGATCAAAATTCTTACACTTGTAGAGGAATCATGAAATGGGCCTCAAGCTACTCACCCGTATCTTGCTGAGTTTCATTTGAATCTTCTTGGAGACAACTTCAGCCCAGTAAGGCTCCCGCAGAAAATCCCAGAAGAGCCGGCCAACAGCTGCATTCACCCAGGCAACAGCATCCTCCCCCTCCTCCTTGAGCTGTTCCTGCTCTGAGGTGGGGCTCTGAAGCTATAGAAACAATACCGGGTATGTTGATAAACATACACACAAGTAAGAATATCGAAAAGCTCGTGATTCTACTATCCAATGATGATACCTTCTTTTCAGCTCCAGGGCTGCTCTGGGGACAGTGAAGCTCAGAGCTGGTAGCTGGGGATTTGAGTGCAATTGGCTTTGTCAATAATGAAGCCATGTAGACAGTGTAGTCCAAAAGCTGGGTTTTGACACTGCCTGCTGTTGGGGAATCTTTTGTCCTGGGCTGTGATGCGAGGGCTTCATCCAGACTGCTGCGGCTACTACTCCGACTGTGAGAGCTCAGAGCTGTGGGCAGTAATTGAAAAAAAACGGGCTGAGGAATAGACAGTTTTCAGACGCTTTCATTTGATATTCATATGTATTTATGGATGATGATGTAATCAACAATGAATCACTTACTAAAACCAACAGTTATATAGCAGCAAAGGAGAATGTTTTTGAGGAAAATAAATGATTGTGCTCACCACTTCTGGAGCTTGCAGGACTTGTAACTTTCTTCAAATCTATCTTAAGCATAGAAGCTGACATAAACCTTTGGAACCACTCCTCCTTCTCCCTCCCAGTCCTTCCAAACAGAAAGAGAGTCAGATCTCTGCTGGAGGACATTGGCCGGGTTGGCTCTTGAGTTCCTCCTGTCCCCTCTTTTCTGTTCTCACTAGTGTCACCTTCCACCTTAGAAATGAAATCATCCTGTTTTCCGAGTTCGATGCAGATGGGATATTTTTTGTTCCATATCCGTTTCCTGGCCAGGCTTTGAGGCAATAAATGCACCTAGAAAATGGTTTGGAGCACATTGGTGAAATACACTGATAAATAAAATTACATAGAGCAGGGGTCACCAAGATGGTGCTCACAGGCACTAGTTAGACCCCCAAGGACCACACGAGTAGCCTGTAAGCCTATTCTAAAACAGCTCACCAGTGATGGGATATCAGGATTTTCTGGGAATGTTATAGAATTGATTAACTGAAAATGTAAAGACTGGCAGGGTGCTATATAAGTGTGGCATATTGATATTTATCTGTTTCCTAAGTACTATGAGAAACCATTGATGGTTGTCTTCACATGTATGAATTTAACAACTGATGGAAAAAAAACCCCAAACAAATAGTAACATACAAGTATTATAATAATAACATTACTCACGGTAATTTAAGCATGTATATCAAACAGGTACAGTACTGCTTTTTACATTAATCAATAGCCAAGAAATAGCTCTCAGTCTCAAAAAGGTTGGTGACCCTTGATGTAGTAGAGAGAGAGAAAGTGAGTGAGTGTGTGTGTGTGTGTGTGTGTGTGTGTGTGTGCGTGTGCGTGTGTGTGCGTGTGTGTGTGCGTGTGGTGTGGTGTGAGATAAAACACGCGTGTTGCTTTTATGGCGGAAACAAGTCATTCAGTAACATACTTTGCTGTTGGTCAGATCATAGATCTTCTGACTGATGTAGGTTACATCTGGTTTTGGTTCGTTGTGTATGGCACGTCGAGCAATATTGTGGTTTGGTTTCGACAGACGGATGACGGAGCCCTCCAAGCGGACAAACACAGAGTGTGTCAATGTGGCATGGTAGGTTTCTGGGTCATAGTTTGTTATTTCATTCATCCAGCCCTGAAGAGGAAGAACATTTTACAGGTTTTAAGTTTTGACAAAGACTTTTGACAATGAGCTTTCAATAAATATACACTTATGTTTGCATTTACTTGGTCAAGAATATGTTAGGTGCATACCTCACTAATAAATTACGTTTACAAATAGATTTTGACTGACCTTAAATATTTCTGGTTCTTTAATGTCTAATTGTGGAAGATTCCACAATTTTCCATGGTTTTTAGAATATGTGAAGGGTCTGTCAGGTTTTGGTCCAGCCAGCCACACAACTCCTATTGCGACGAAGAATCCTAGTGCCACTCCAATCAGCACTCCTCTGACATGGTCCGGCAAAGGCAATATAAAAAAACCATAGACCAGAATAGTGAGGATAAAAAGGGTCTTGTGCGGCACACTAGGTGAGGGCTCAGCATCTTCCGTTTCATTCTCGATGCAAGGTTCAGTAGTGCCGCTTAATGGCAGCTGAGGCTGCCTATCAGTTCCAGTACCAACATCATTGTCGGTAGTACTAGATTCAAAGTCCTCGCTGTACAAAATGCAAAAGTCCTCATCCTCCTGTTTTGCAAGAGCAGACATTGAGCACTTGTCCAAAGATATTGGGAAGGAGGAGGATTTATTGGGGCTCTTAATGCCAAAAGGTGCCACATGAGAATCTGCTGGAGCAGAGGTTCCACTTTCTGGACTTTCCCGCTCCAATTCACTGCCTTCTTCCTCTTTGATGCAGTCGTTGTTGTTGCTTTCAAAGTGACCAGTGACAGAGTTCAGGTTGTAGAGTTCGGATGCACTGGCAGATAGAGCCTTTGGCCGACTGAGGCTACTGCTGCTCTTTTCATCCATGATCTTACTAAGAAGTTGTAGTGGTTCGTAGATGGCCTCAGAGAAACGACGTTTAGTGTCTTCAATTCGTGCTTCAACCTCTGATACTTTGAAGAAGCTGCGGTTATCTGGCGAAATCAGCGGTGAACAAGGGGCTGTTTTTGAATCACTAGCTGCTGACGTAGTAGTATTGTGCATCCTGGACTGAGTAAATTGCTTGAAGAGTTGCAGATTAAGGCGGGACTCTGAAAGGCGATTGGGTGAAGAGTCCTGTGATGTGTCAGACGATAAGGATTTAACCAGGGATTTCATAATATGCCGATGTCTTGTTGCGGGAGCAGTCATCGAAGAGACTCCGTCTTTCGACTCAATGTCAGAAGATAACGATTTCATCAAAGTTAGAAAGGACTTGTCAGCAGACGGAAAACTCAAAGATTTAGTCGGTGATGAATTCGAACTTGTGCCTTTTTGCTCAGCAAGATGTGGCAACGAAGTGGTGTGAGAAGTAGAAAGTGGTGAACGTTTGGTAGAATGGGCTGTGGGAGCCACATCACCGGAACCGTCTGATTGCTGTGCTTCAAACATCTCCTCACTAGCCTCAACTCCGGTCACAATATTGAATTCATCCTGAGTGGTGGATGTGGAGGAGACCGATGTGGTGTACAGCTCTTCCTCCTCCTCCTCTTCCTCCTTCCCAAGAGCTGAGAAGTGGATTGTAAGGGTCTCATTTGAATCTGATCGACGCACATGGAGCTTCGAGGCCAGAGCTGGTGGCTGTTTGTCTGTGGAGTAAGTGCTTTCTGCATGGCTAGGGTGCTGGCTAGTCATTGCAGTCCTCCCGCGTAGTCTGTGAGAAGAAAAAGACAACACTAGTTAAGTGAGTAGTGAGTGCAGAAATAATATTTGAAAATCACGAGTCATTGTACAGATATAAAACCGCTTTAAAAATAAATAAGGTAAATATGGTTATTGAGAACCACAGCGTTTCCCAGTGCACGTTCTCCAACGGATTTGATGTACAAACCTGATTCCAATGAAGTTGGGAAGTGAAACATAAATAAAAACAGAACACAATGATTTGCAAATCATGTTGAACCTATATTTTATCACCACAAATACAAGATATTGGATGTTCAAACTGACCAACTTTTAGCAAACAATCATTAACTTTCAATTTTATGGCTACAACACGTTCCAAAAAAGCTGGGACAGGTGGCAAAAAAGACTGAGAAAGTTGAGGAATGCTCATCAAACACGTTTGGAACACAGGTTTACAGACTAATTGAGAACAAGTAGGTGCCCTGATTGGGTATAAAAGGAATTTCCCTGAATTGCTCAGCCACTCACAAACAAGTTTAGGGCCAATGCTCCTTAAAAATACAATGGCAAGGAATTTAGGGATTTTATCATCTCCGGTCCATAATATCATCAAAAGATCCAAAGAATCTGGAGAAATCACTGCATGTAAGCGGCAAGGCCGAAAACTCACATGGGATGCCCGTGACCTTCAATTCCTCAGGTAGCATGGGAACAAAAACTGATTTCTAATTTTGAAGAACAATTTTTGAAGGTTAACTCCAGGGACCTGAAGCAATATTTTTATTCATTCATTCATTTTCCGAACCGCTTCATTTTTTTTTGGGGGGGGGGGGGTAATGAAGCGTTTTTATTTCTTCAATTCACATTGTGTATAGCAGTAAATTGTGGAAAAACATTTTTCAGAAGGACAATATATCAAACAAATGTAAATTTCTGTTTGAACTCTGAATGGGTTGTATGGTCGACTCTTTTGGTTAAGCTAAATTGATTTAAAAAAAAAAGGAAAGAAAAAATCGACTGTAACATAATTTTGAGAACAGTTATTGTGCCAATCTCTAAAGTCAACATCAAAAGTTAGCACTGTATTGGGAAAACAAACAAATAACAGCGATAAAAATATTCAATATACTATATTAATACAATATACTTTCAACCTCATAAGCAACTCCTCCCTCCCGGATGACGCACACCTTAGCATAATGTAATTAATTTCCAGTTCGGGTCCCAACAATCAACTTTCGTGTCAATTCTTACACCAATTGCGAATTGATTATTGCAAGTAATCAAAAACAGATCTGATATATTGATACATAACGCAGTTATTTTACATTTGGCTTTTTACTCTACTACTAGATGGTATAATAGTGAGGCTCGTTTGTCTACAATGTCTTCCTTGATAATTTGGCATGCCCTTTAAATGACAACCAGAAGTAATCAAACCAGTATGATGTGGAGTTTGAAAAACACATGAACATTATTTTACCTCAAAGAAATGGTCCTACTTTCTTGGTTTTTGCTTTAAGTCGCAGGCCATTTGACTGAATGATTGAATTTTGGATTCCCGACTTTGTGTGCTTTCACAATATTATCAACAGACTGAATACGTATGACTTGCAACTTTGAACATCATTTACTTTACCACTGCACAAGAAAACGTTAGTGATAGCCTACAGCGTGTTCTGACTTGTATCCAAATTTAGGTTATATTCTACCACTATTAAATTCAACTTGATCATAAACCAAAGCAACCCCTTCCGCAATCAAATATTTAACGTGCATTGCAGGTGAACGTATGCTTTTGTTTTAATGTTGTTTATTTTCTGACCAGCATGCATCAAAAATGCTTATATGGTCGAACAGTACATTCATATTCATTTTCAGATTTTTCTGTGCAATACAGAGTACCACCAAGTGCTCACTCGGAACATACTCCGTACGGGACAGGAAATGTGACAACTACACATGTCAAAGTTGTGGCAAACGATAGCTTAAATGTTAAATATAGCTGCTCTGTTAACATTGTCTTCCAGGTGGCCTTAAATTCCTAAAAAAGAATCATCTATAGCTGTATACAAGCGGAGAACAGAGACATCTCCAACCAAGATGAAAACAACCATATCGAATACTGTAACGTTCAAAAGAGAGAAACGGCTCCCTAATGTGGCTACAAAGACTTCCCTGTTTTCTCCAAATTGAACTTTCAACGGTTACGTCATGAACTTGAACTTCCATTCATTCATACAAATTATGGACACTGAACTTTTATACATGGCAGGTTTCGTAAAAGCAAAATTGATGTGAAAGAGAACACGTCACTTCCATTTGTGTTGACATTTCTCATGTGTACAAGGCTGCCTCGTCTTTTGGCAAAATTATTAATTTGCAGGGAGAAAATTAAACAAAAAAATCTTAAATACATCATGTTTCAAGATGCTCATTTAAATGGTTAAAAGTAGTATGTCCAAATGGTTTTTCCTTTCATATCACAGCCGAGCTCACATGATCGTGTCCAATTAACCATAACAATACATCATTGTTGTCAGGGCAATGTAATTGGGCAAAACATTTCTTAGTTAAGCCAGAGTGACAAAGGGCTACATTGTTATTAAGTGAATGAACAACTCATGGGAGACTATAATGGTACGGGTTATGTCATGGTTTAAAAAAAAAAAAAAAAATCTGTGGCTCATGGTGAGTGACTCTGCTCAAAATTCTTAAAAGAGTGACTTGGATTTTGCAAGCGATAGCTGCACGAAACATCTTGGCACAAACTGAATGAGTAAAGGTGTTCGCTGAGGCTAATAACTTTCCAACAAAAGATTGCCTTGAACATTATACAGATAGAAAGATTAACTTAACTCCATGAGCCTTAAAAAAAAAAAAAGAAAAGAAAGAAACAGACCCAAGTTAGGCTTTTTCTTTAGAATGCAGAAGTGCTTTCTTTTTTTCAGCAGGGAAAAGGTTAGTGCGCTTTTTTTATTCAGTCTTGGACTACAGTGACCTAATTTATTTGCATGCTTCTTCAACAGTGTTAAAACAATAGATGTGACTTTCACTCAGTCCTACGTCATTACAGATGCATCAGCTCGAACCGACAACTGCATTCTGTATAAAACTGTACAATGATCCTCCCTCTACATTAGAAGGAAAACCCACACACTGATTTCTATTGTTAAATCGCTTGTGGATAAACTTCCTCTTTACATTTCGCATCTGCTTGTATACCATAATAGTGTTCACAGGAAAAGGTCATCAGAAAAATTGCTATGAATACACCATTGACAAGAACACAACTTAGTAAAAGAGTTTTTTCGTCATATGCTCGTGTTCTTTGGAATGAACTTCAAGCCACATTAAATTTGGAATCACTCCCACCAATCTAGTTTTAAACTCACTCATGACTGAAAAATGCAACTGTTAACTTCATGCCTTTTCTGTTACGCATTCTACACCTGTATGTCGACCGCACTACTGCGTGAAGTGTGTTTATTGTAATCTAGTTGTTTGTGTTATAGCTTTGCTTCGTCTCATGTCTGTTGTGCTATGGCGTCGGCCTGAAATCAGTAAATTAGGTTAATATTGAAAGCCACCACAAATGCACAGAGTTTATTCTGAAAATAATATACAGCTCGAACACGAACAACCTGTCAACGTCTCAGAGTCTGAAAATATTGTTTATTATAATATTGATATTTGGGGTAAAAAAAGGCCGCCGGAATGCTCGGACGTGGGAGAGTGATGATGAATGAGCCATGCTGTACTTTTATCTTCATCGCTGGAAACTATCATCATGTGGACTTAATCAACAGTGGATTACAGTCTAAATGAATGAGTTCTTGCAACTTTTCACCACACTTTCAACATCGCTGACAAGACAGACATGACCAGCAGGACCTCTGTGGATTGTTGTGGGCGGCAGAGGCAACATAAACAAAAGCGGAAGAGCCCAGCCGAGCTATGGCTAATCTAATCACTAATAGTGAACACAATGGTTCAGAAAACGGATGAATGGATAGCAAATGCTGTGACACTGCACTGTACTTGTAATCCAAATGGCCCTTGAAGTGCAGCTATGGTGAGTGGTATTTTTAATCACTGTTTATTTTGGTCTCAAATGGCTTCCACATGAAAATGGATCGGAGCACTAAAATGTTTGGAGTCCTGCATTTATTTAAAATAATGTGTGTGCGCGTGTATGTGTGTGCAAAGTGCACTGTAGAAATGTCACTGCGAGTGATTTATTCTTTGAAGCATTCCTGTTAAATATAGTACATAAAACACTGGTAGGGGTGCCAACAAAACATGACCGTCTTTATTAATAGGTAGTGATACGCATCAGAGCTTTTGAGATTGAGCTTCACCTCACTGCCTGAAATGACGAGAGTTCAAAAAGGTGACTGTACATTGTCGCTGACCACTTTTTGATATCATACACCGACCCGACTGCATTGGCAGGAAGCGGGATTGAAATCTTTGTTTTAAACTACAACAACAGATCTATTTGCGGTATAAGGGAAAAAAATGTTATCAGTTGTCAGTATCGTTTGGAGAGGCAGGAAGTTATTGGGTATCTGCATCGGTACAAAAAATAGTTATTGCTCATCCCTGATTGAAAGCCATGTGAAACAATTGATTAGATGCATGAGGTAAGCTGTTCAGCACAGACAGACAGACAGATAGATACTTAATTCATCCCAGACGGGAAAGTAGATTTGCTTGCTTCACAACAAAGTTATTGGTAACAAAATAAGCTTATGTAGGCAACATTTGCAGCGGTAGCGTCACAGCCAAATAACCTCGCCACCATCTCACCTATAAACATGCTCGCATATGCACATACACACACACAAACCCACTGTAATTATGATACAAGAGGGGTGTTCACACGGCACACATTTGCTCCGGTGCTGCACCGATGTATTTTGTTGCGATATATCTTACACCGGAGCAAATTTTGTGGAGCGTTCACACGTACAAAGCCGCCGAGCATCGAGAGGCGTTCAATGACCTCCCCCGAAAATGTAAATCAACGATGACTTCAATGACACTCAGAAAAGCAAACATGTAATGCGCCAAACAGAAAATCAAAAGAGGAAATCACAAAATAAATTCTATGGGGGGGTTGTGAACACACAACAGAGGAACAAACTACATAAACAACTCCGAGACAGTCCAGTCTCCTGGACTGACGGAAGTACAACAGAGTACGAAAGCAACGCATTCTAGCCGTATGTAATCAACTCTTCTCATGCGTAGCGAGGCTACTCCCCCGCAAATGAGCATTTGATCCGAAGCAAATTTTTAACCCTGTAGTGTTCACACGTACCATTTTACATCGGTGCTGCCCCGCAAACGAGCATTTGCTCCGGAGCAAATTTTTAAACCACCTCCCAGAACAGGGTTAAATTTGCTCTGGTTTAAGCTGTTTTCAGGGGCTACACCGGTGTACCTTTGCACGTGTGAACGCTCTACTGGGGCTGCCCCGGCGCAGCACTGGAGCAAATGTTGCCGTGTGAACACCCCTAATGATGATGACAATGAACGGTAAAAAGACACTTGTATGCCAGTCACAAATGTAGCCGTTTTTGTTCATATGGTGTTTAAATAATGAATTGGTGAGTAATTTATATGAAAAGTGGCACTAACAATCAGGAAAAAAACACAGAAGAATTTTACACTATATCTGATACTTTTGGTCTCTCACAACATGCCAAAAGTCCAACACATACTCAAGGTTGTCACATTTTTGATCACGTTATCACTACAGGTGTTGACATTTCATCTGTTGATGATAAAGATGTGTTGATGTTAAAGCTCTTTCAGATCATTTCTGTGTGGCCTTTGAACTATATCTGATCCCCAAAGTTCAGACAACCATTGTGCCAATTTAAAAAAAAAATATATATATATATACACACACACACACACACACACACACACACACACACGCACGTACGTTTATGAACATTATGACTGTCACAAACTGTGAATGCGGAGACTGTTGATGATGAACTTCTGGATAAAAACCCTTGGAAAATCTCAAATGCCCTGGATGCTGTTGCTCCCACTAAAACTAAGACCATTTCATACCGACCTAAAACATCTTGGAGGTGCAATACGAGCGCGTGACTGGAGAAAAACTAAACTCCAAAGGTCATTTTGACGTGGTTAGACAATGTCTTTGTAGTTTTAAAGCTTTAGTAAAAGGCAGACAACACTTTTTCTGAAATCATTGGTAAGGACTAAACATTACGCGCACTCTATTTGCTCTAGTCGACAAACTCACAAATCCCCCAACTCCTCTCAACAGATAAATGCAATGAATTTGCCTGCTACTTTAGTGAAAAAGTTCAATCCATGGGGTGAAATATCATCGCAAACCAGCAAAATTACAAAAGGATGCAACACTGAAAATCACCCAGGAATAATTACATAACCATGACATAAATTGACACAGTGGCTCAAAAAAAAAAAAAAAAAAAACAGATTTGGTTCAGCAGTTGAAACAATCAACTCGCTGTCTTGACTCAATACCACCTGACTCTTGCAAAACTACTGTGAAATCTGTTCAGAGTTACAGCAAATAATCTCAATCAAAATGTGATGATTCTTTTGTCCAAAACCATCCAGCCCTAACAGCCTGTTGCGCCAACTTCTTCGGGTCTCTCCACACAAATTCAAGACCCTGATATTAAAATTCAAGAATCTTTCAACACTTTTGAAGGTATTTATTCCAAATTCATAAATTCAATGGTTTTAAATATCCACGGGGACACTGAAAATAGTCCCAAGGCATTCATTTGAATGGTTGCATAATTCATACATTAACAAAAAAGGCACATTTCTTAAGTATGACTATTGTGTTTTATGAAAACAAAAATATTCATTATTACTATTACACAGAGTTACACGATACAAATAAAAGTATCTTATTCTTAAAAACAAAATCAAGCTATGCATCTTTATTTTAGCTGCTCAAAGCTCTGCCTGAGCCTGACGTGTGATGCATTCAACAAACAAGAGGGAAAACAAACCCAAGTAAAACAAAACTGCCACTACCTGTTTTACCGCATTTCAAGACGTAGAGACACAGCTGTTTGCCTTTCAAACAGACCGCACACCAACTACTGCATCACTGAACCCTTTGGTAATTCGACCATTGTTGACACTTGCACTCTTCACCTCTCTTTTTTTAAGTAATGCTTTATGCCACAGGTGTTAAACTCCTGGCCCCGGGGCCAGATCCGGCCCACCACATTATTTTATGTGGCCAGTGAAAGAAAATTGTTTGTGTCAACTTTCATGATACTTGCTGAAATCTGGATCGAAATGTCAAATTGTCACGTGTGATAAGTAATTTTGAGATTTTGGAATAATTGTGTTACCCTGTTTACACTAACTTGAACAATAATTGAACAAACTATCATAGTGGACCTGACTGATTTCAAAACCAGTAATCCATTAATTTGTCGTGTATGAGTAATAATACAATGAGACAATTAAACATTTTTGTGGTTTCACTGTCATATCGGCCCTCCGAGGGAAGACGTAACTCAAAAGTGGCCCGTGACAAAAAAAGATTTTGATGCCCCCGCCTTATGTTATTGATACAATAAATTTGACGTTGTGAAATGTTTCTACACAAAAAAGTGTTTGCTGCTAGACACAGTGTAAATTTAAGAAATAGAAACTGTAGAATTTCTATTTTTTTTTAAAAAGGAAGTAATTGCCCGTTGCTTATTAAGTCAAATATTTGATTTTCACTTTTTGTCTTTAAAACCTTGAATAAAGTAAAAATATATTTTATCTGAAGATTTGATTATCTGATAGAATGTTCAGTAGGATACTAAAGTACCAAAATAATCAATAGCTGCATCCCTACAAGTCCCCTGTTATAGTGTCCTATTTTTCTTGTTGAATTAAAACCTTGTTTCAGGTCACCAGGATTAACGTGCAAAAAATTAGCTCCAGAATATTAAGTAAGTTGCTACTTACATGACGGCAGTGATTAGCAAACATGCCTTTCAAAGAAAAAAATAAAGTAATTTTGAGAAGTCATGTTTGTGGTTTATTTCGTGTTTCTATATGGGTACCATTAAAAAGTTATTGTGACCGAGCAAAATTACAGAAGTTCTGAGTAACAGTCAACAGGGTAAATACTGACTTTTCACTGTATGATGTTGGTCATTGTCTATGCTATATCTTCCCCAAAACAGTGCTCAATCAATAATCATAACATGGCTTTGTTTGCATCTGACATGGCCTAAATCGTCAGCTAAATGTAGTCCACATTATCTGGGCAGAAGCTTCCAACATAACTTGTGTTACACGTATGGGAGAAGTATAAACCTGGTAGTTGAAGGATGGGCTGAGTTTCTAGATGGCAACCTTGCAAAGCGGGTTACCAGCAGCTGCAAAACCCCTTTCTTCTATTGACTTTAACAATGCACACATTTAAACACACATTTAAAATGTGGGTCTCAAGGGAAACCTTGGTCTTCATTTGAAAACGTGTGCGTGAGATCGTTTTCTCCTCTCATTAGTCCCAGAGTTCTGCAGCTTTCTCCACATTTGAGTAATTGTCTTGAGGCTATGTTTCTGGAGAGCTAATTTGCCTATTCCATTTCCAAAAGTTTTATGCACATCACTGGGCACTAGGATTTCCATGTGATGAAAGCTGTATGACTGAGTAATCCTTTCCAGTACAGTATGTGTATTAACAGTGAACATGAATGTGTCGTGTACTTTGTCCACTAACACGTGTTTGGATTCTTAAAAAATATATACTTATTTGTGGATTTACATTTGATTCTACTCAGGTTCCTACTATATTTCTTCCAATCTCCGCCCTCTTCTCTCTATCTGGCTGGACTTTATCCTCACAGAAGGTCATTTGTAGCTCAGGAAACCGATCGATAATGAGTTCACATTTACTGGCAAAGTGCTTACCTTGTATTCTCAGTGCCATTCAATGCAGCAGGGGACGTCCATCTGCCCACTGCAGAGTCATGTTTCACATCTTCATGATATTCAGGCGACTTCTGTAAAAATACCACAAAAATAATTGAGTGAAAAACAAAAATACACACCTATGGTGGGATATACTGTTTTGAGTATTTGACTAATGTACAACAATAGTCACATAATAGGTTAGTGTTGTCAAGCAGACTGCAGTGGTAGGTAGCTATTATGACCCGTGTTCCAAGTCCATGGAGACGCAAACGTCTGTGCTTCAAAAGTCTTCACGAGCTCTTGACAAATATCAGGCAATGCTCACGAAAAATACGCACTGCTAGTTGAGCCAACATAGATTCTAATACCAACATCAATTGACAGTCTTCCGCAACTCTCCAACGTTGACGTTAGAAAACAAATACACGAAAGAGAAAGTGGTTAGCTTGCTACAACTTAAATCCCAGTGTTGGCAAGTCAACTCCTCGTTGGTCGAAGGTTACCTCGCCACTGTTAGAACAGGCTTGCGAAAATCAAAACAGAATAGCTTACCGGGGACAACAAACTTCATTTTCCCGAAATACGTCAAAGAAAGCCTATTTCCCTGAAAAGAATCAAATTTCTTTCCGCACTACAACATCTACAAACGAGTGTCATCGGTTGGCCAACTGTTCACCGTCTTGCTTCGCCTGTTGACAACTGACTCAATTCCTTATAGATGGGGAAAAAAAAACACACAAAACAACGATTGGTTGTCGTAAAGGCCGAAATAGTCAAGCACCGAGTATCGATCACAGACTCACCGTGCACTGGAGTCGTTTCGAGCGATTTTTCCAAAAAGCTACTTAGTGAGTCTAGAACAGATGAGGCAGATGTGAAGGAAAAACAATGTTGCCATCTAGTGTAATGGTTTGGTAGTAGGATAACACTAAAAATATGGGCATGCACTTCATTTACGTTCCGAAAGGTAGACCTTAATTATCTTTTGTCCAGTAAAATGCATGAATGGATGGATGGTTGGGAAATCACTCTTTCCACAACGAAAACAACACAAAGCAAAACATGCATGCCTAATTGCAAACACTCTTAAAAAAGGAGAAAAACATCAAACATCTATTAAAAAAAAAAAAAAAAAAGAATAAGGCGTGGAATTTGATGCATGGGGTAAGGTGCAAGAGGAAATTGCAATACAATGAAAGTTTACCTGTGTCTTATGTGTTTTTTGTGTTATTTTGACTTCAAGATGGCGCCGCGAGAGTGGCTGCCTTTCCAGCAGCTCCTATTTATGTTGTTCTTCTACTTCTTCCTCTCATGACTTTACTGCTGTGAAGTGGGAATGTCTCCATTGTGAGACTATTAAAGGTTTTCTTATCTTATCTTATCTTATCTTATCTTATCTTATCTTATCTTATCTTGTTGCATTAAATACAAACATCAATAAATAATTAAATCTGAATCCAATCTTAAGAGTCACTAAATAAAATTTATAGTGAATATAGTCAGGAGTATATGTTTATGATTTATTTACATTATGTAAACATGTTTCTGGGCTGGCAAGCACGTCTGTCTCACAAACCGGGTACTCTGGTTTCCTCCCACATTCCAAAAGCATGCATGTTCATTAAAACCTGGTTCTCGTTTTGACCAGCGTTTTGTGTTTTCCTTTTGACGGTGTTTTTTCGTTTGTAATAAATATTATTTGATAGACAAGACCTTGTTCAGTGCCTGCTATTTCGGGGATCCACCTATTCTTGTTCGCTCCGTTGCGTACGAAGCAGCTCTCTCCTTCTGCCTAGTACGCAACGTGACAGCGGCAACCAGTTCAGAGAATAACCCGGCTGCTTCCTGAAGTCAGCTGCAAAGGCTCCAACACACCGGTGACCTTTGTGAGGATAAAGCGGTTCACATGATGGATGTTTTTTTTTTTTTTTTATATTTCTAACTGAAGAATTACCACTTGTGTGAAGATCATAACATGAAATCAATCGTTTACTAATACATCATTTCAGTTCAACATTTTTAACATTCATAGAAAAATATATCATCACTCACATTTATCACAAAGAGTTCATTCATGTGTGACTCCTGTCACACAAGATTTTAATAGAGAATGTAAGGTCCACAGTATAAGATAACAGTGTGATAAAAGCAACCACTGCCTCCATTATAACCAGCTCTGAACTTTTGTTTTCACTGTTGATTAGCTGTAGTGGCTTGTTAAAACAAATTACGGTAGCAACCATATATAGCAGGAATCCAATAATAGTGAAAACAACCATTAATCTGTCAAAACGGAGACGACACCGCCCTGCAAATTCACCCAATATTACTACCATTGTGACAAGAGACATGAGGATACAGACGCCATAAGACATTCCAGACACCCACGGCTGCCAACGATGAAATCCATTGTACAGGCCATGATCTGCTTCCACAAACAGAGGAATCACCTGAAAACCTCCCCAAAGTTGCACAATCTTGAGAAGACCAGGTAGGCTGCCCATAAAACCTTTTTGCTCCTGGACTTGGGAGCAGAGGACGTAGGACTCCGAGACATAGGCGAGGAAAGTGAGGACTGATGTCACGGTAGCCGCCACAGGTCGTGGCCAGGCCTTTTGGCGCTCCATGATGAGCCATGGAAAAAATACGGAGGCACTGAGACACATCAGAGACCCCAAAACTGCCACGGTCGCAGTCAGGTTTTTCCATGACACTGGAAGGAGGCTGTGAAACTGGATGGTGCTGAGAAAGTGGATCAGCAGGGTAACTGTGAAGAAGAAGCACCAGGTAAATATGCAGAAGATCTTGATGGTGGGGAGGTGTTGAAGATGCAGCGGATTCTTGGTTAGCTCTGATGATTCTAGTGCAGTCACCAGACTGAATGTAGTACAACTAAATAGGACCTCGCATGACCTCACCAAAAAAAGAGGACTTGCAAAGTCTCTAGCCTCGAGAACAATCCCGGGCATTGCAACAAAGTTAAATATAGATACGCAACAGATAAGAGTCACTCTTTCCTTAGAAGCACAAAATATTTCTCATTCTCAGTTCTTGGAGAAAATGTGCTTGTTAACCAAGAAATATTCACTCCAAAATTGTTAGTCCAAATGAATTCCAGAGGGAAAAAAAAAAAAACTATCGAAGTCCGTAAAAATAACAAAATCAAATGTACAAAAGGTTCATCAAAAATATCATGCTCTCTTGTTCTTCACACCACTGTCTTTTGACAAACAATTGACATCATGGAATGGATATATATTGTGCATCACAGTCTGTCAACATATGCCGCGCCTACTTCCTTTTTGAGGTTTCAGCAGTGCACACTAAGTCTCACGGAAGGAAGGTGCAGATGGCCACAGTAAAAGGTAATGCAAACAAAGTTATCTCCCTACGGCTCTTGCTTCTCACAAAATGCTGCTGTGTTTTTTTTTTTTTCTGAGCCACTAGTAATAAACCATTATGACTGCAGCTTCTTTATTAACACAACAATGAACACTGTGCCACTACTAATTTGAAAATAATTATCTAAATTTCTAAACTGAAATATCTAAATTTAAATATCATACAATTGATCCACAACAGTCTAAAATGATCTTTATATGTTGAGTTTCAGCATGAACAGGACCGCAAAGATATAAAGAGAATATTGTGTGCACTTCCCAGCCTTGTCCCTTCAAAAAGTATTTGTACTTTAACTGGATGAAGAGGAATTGTGTACAGATGAAGTCATGCAAAATTAAAAAAAAAAAAACACTCTTTGTTACATTTAGTGATGATCGTGTAATTTCCCAACAAACATTCATATGCCATAAATGTGTACAGCTGTGTTTTGTGCTGTCTGTGGAGTTGGACAAAATATTGCCCAGTGTGTGCTGAAACCCCAAGGAACAGGAACTTGTTTTGCTTTAAATTTCTGTGTGTGTTTGAATGCATGGTGGTTTTCAATAAATGTCACTGTGCTTGTGTGCATGCACAATGACTCATCTGAAAATCCCAGATAATCACCGATTTGTGCATGAGCACCTGCTCTCTGTGTTGTATGAATACAGTGTCATTAGTGGATTTTCAATTCATGTCACTCATTAAAAAAAAACAAAAAAAAAACAAACAAACAAACAGTGAGGCAGCCCTTCACAGAATTAAATGAGGCAAATTAACAATTATGACTTTCCAGTTCTTAACATACAGTATTCATAGACTCTGAGATTATATTGGAGAACAAATAATGCAATCATATGAAACGTGTACAGCCTGACTGTTATTATTATTATTATTATTAGTTTTTTTTAATCATTCAGACGTCTAAACTGATGGTGTAGTGATAAACTCGCCTCATTTGTCTGCGGTCAGCGTGGGGTCGGTTCCCACTCAGTGACGGCGTGGATGTCGGCGTGAATGGTTGTTTGTCTCTTTGCCATGCGACGGACTGGCGACCAGTTCAGGGTCTAGTCTGCCCCGAAGGCAGCTGAGTGGCTCCAGCCACTCCCCGCAGCCCTGTTCAGGATAAGCAGTGTTGAAAATGGATGAATGGATGGAAGTGAAAAGAATTGTAACAAAACAAAAGAAAAGTTAAAAAATAAAATAAAAATAGCACTACATTAGCGCCCCGCTGTGGTCATTTTACAGAAGACATGTTTTATTTCAACAGCGGGTGGTGGACTTCGCCATGGGGGCTGCCTATGCCAGTGAAAATTCAGATAACAATACAAATTTAATTACACCATATATAATGATTGATAATCAAGTTGAACTTTAATCACAATTTCCTACTCAGACACGCACAGTTTGGGAATGCAATTTACCTCAACCACACACGATATTCATCTTTTCTTTGTGATCTTGACTGCGATTGGTTGGTGGGCAGTTGATTGTCAGGTGCACCCCACCTCTCGCCAAAAAAAGCTGCATGGGAGAGGCTTCAGGTCAGCTCCAACCCGAATGAACACAAGCCGTATTATAAATGGATGGGATATATAATGCATATACCTCGTTGTTTTTGTTTCAACCTGTAAAAAGTAATTTTTACATGCAACTGAATCAGTTAATTTCTTTTTTCTGCTCTGTTAATTTGAATACAATTTTTTGAATAAAGGGATGAAAATAAAACACCAATAACAATCAGCAAAATCACAGATTAATCAACAAAATAAATAACAGACTATTATTAAATTAATTATTGCAATTGCAGCCCTACACAAAACAACATAAAAACAAAATATAATGAAAAGCTTTTCGAGGATGCTTCTTTTATACCCAATCATGATAGTCACTTGTGCTGAATTGACCTGTTCACCTGTGGAGTGTTCCACACGGGTGTTTTTGAGCATTTTTCAACTTTCCAAGTCTTTTGCTGCACCTGTCCTAGCTTTTTTTTTTTTTTTTTGAAAGTGCTGCAGGCATCAAATTCAAAATGAGAGAATATTTGTATTTGGAATTGGAAATTGTAGAATGAGGAACTGAAAATCTACTGTCTGACAAGAAACACTGAAAAGACTTGGAAGACAGGGACACGGAGGGAAGAACGGTAAAGTCTCTTACCTTACCATTTGAGTTAAATAGTGCTCTATAGTTAATTATACTGTATATATTAGTGTGTGTACACAGTGAAGCAATTAAATGGAAATTCTGGATAAGGTGCAGCCTCTCTCATGCTCACTTTCCTCTTTGCATGCAATCAAACAATGACGTCTTTAACAGCATTAGTCACACTTGCCCAAATTTTCAAAAGGGGTCATCTTCAACTTCAATCTTCAACTTGACAATCCCCTGCTGGTGTGTCTTATCCACACCCTATTCATTTCTCCTTCCCTGGCCCATAGAAGAAAAGAGATCGAGGCGAGTGGGATTTGCCTCACACTAGGTAGCTGTTTTATGTGGAGCATATGAGAAAAGCGAGAAGAAAGGAGGACCTTCTTTTTTTTTTTTTTTTTTTGGTGCGACTTGGCAAAGAGAGGCAGAAGCCCACTTGAGGAACAGTGGGCCTTAGAGCCGGATGATTTGTTTGGAGAAGCTCTCTCAGGCCAAAAAGGAGGATTAGCAATGTGCAGGTTCCCATAGAACCAAGGAAAGGTGGAGAAGGCTTAGGAGGGTCACCCCACCCTTGCATTGTGGCAACACTCCACATGCATGTGAGTGCACACACACACACACACACACACACACACACACACACACACACACACACACACACAAATCAAAAATATATATATTTATCCATTTTCTGATTCACTTATCCTCACAAGGGTCGCAGGGAGCGCTGGAGCCTATCCCAGCCGTCTTCGGGCAGTAAGCGGGGCACACCCTGAATTGGTTGCCAGCCAATCGCAGAGCACAGATAGTTGAACAACCATCCGCACTCACACCGAGGGACAATTTAGAGTGTTTCATTAACCTGCCACACATGTTTTTAGAATGTGGGAGGAAACCAGAGTACTCAGAGAAAACCCACACAGGCACGGGGAGAACATGCAAACTCCACACAGGAAGGCCGGAGCCGGAATCAAACCCTGCACCTCTGCGCTGTGAGGCTGACGCACTAACCAGTCGACCACCAGGCTGCCCCTGCATCATATAGTGTAGTCTGTTTTAAAGTGAAAGTGCTAGTAAATACTGGATGGAATAAATAAATAAATAAAAGAGTTAAAATTGGCATGTGCATAACTATCGATCACGGCTGCAAGTTACTTTTGAGATTGCCACATCAAGCCACTTGGATTTTTTTTCCCCATCCCTTGCGGGAAAACTGCTCCAGCTCCTTCAAGTTTGATGGTCATTTACAGACTGGCACAGGATTTGCTCAAAAATATCATCCTTTGTCTGTGACTAATTTCCCAGGGACTGCTGGTTTAAAAACAGTCCACCAGAATGATGCTTCCACCTCCATGTTTCACTGTGGGGATGGTGTTCTTAGTGTGATGAGATGTGTTGGGTGTGCACCAGACATCATTTTCCCTGCTGATTGAAAAAGCTCTATTTTCATCTCATCTGACCAGTTCATCTCTCCATGCAGTTTGGGAATCTCCCACATGCCTCAAAACGTGTTCTTATTTTTAGCCGAAAGTAACAGCCACTCCCCTGGCAGAAAATAAATAAATAAATAAATAAATAAAATTAAACTACAGTCAAACAAAATGTACAACTCTAAAACATTGTTTTGTTTTCATAGGACATCATTTTGACAGCTTCAAGAACATAGAACTAACATTTCCTGATACACGGCCAATCTCTTTGAATTGATTCAATAAGCATTAATCTTGCCTTAGTACATGCTTATGTAATAAATGATAGTAATGCAGATAATGTCAACATTAGTAGGTGACCTTTAATGCCCTTCTTTTCTTGGCACGGATACCTTGAATGACAATGGCTCAATAGGCAACAATAGTTTGAAATCTTACTGTTCATGTCATGGACTGCTGAGTCGCGCTTCGCTTGAGTGGCGTCGCTACAGACACGTCGTCTTAGTATTGTGGTAAACATTGTGCAGATTAGCATACCAGGAGCACACTACCCGCACATTGTTGACAGATTTACTGCATGCAATGTCAAGGTGTGACATGGGAACCAGCTGTCAAGTGGAGAATAGTTTAAAGCAGTGGTCTTCAGTTTTGGCTGCTCCACGTGTGCTAGGATGATTGAAAAACTTAACTGGGGCTTTACAATTACACAGCAAGTCTCTAACACCGGTCACACGCACTGTTACACACATGTGTTTTCTAATACATTGCCAAATAAATGTTAATATATTGTAATATATTTTCATTTCATAAGAGTTGGCCAATTAAAGACGATTCTAATTCTGATCAGCTCTGCCACAAAAATGCCAAGAAGGATTTTTTTACGGGTCTGTCTTTGACAAAAATTAAAATTCCTGATGCAACATATTTAACTGCAAATATTTGTTCTGTACCTGTATTATCTGTCGATCAAGGCCACAGGTCCTGAATTTTAATCAAAGTCACAAGGGTACTCATGCATTTGGGATTCCTTATGCACAGGGTCACATTTCGGATGATGCTCTCTCGTTTCCTCCTTTGTCACTCCTCTATCCGTCCCACCTGCAGCTGCCCTCTCAGTCACTGTAATCTACTTGTGGAATTTCACTCGACAAGTGATCAAAGACCAGTCGCACGTCACCAGGTGCGGCTGTAGCTTCAACTATTGACAACAGCCTTGCAGGCCCCAGTCCCCCTTCTTTTTGCACTTCTCTGAAAAAAAACTGAGGCAAACAAAAACAAAAGCTAGGCAAACTGCTGCTTGTGTTTCAGTCAGTTTGTTCCCCTTTCCACCTCCCCCATTATTTTTTAGCCTTTCTTCTGTTTTTTGTTTTTTTTCCAGCAGAGAAAAGTAAGAATTCTTTCGCTCATTCTTTTTGACTGTGATCTTTGCTACCTTGTCTGTGGTCCCCCGTCAGCACTCTGTGTGGTGGCCAGTTTGAGGAGTTCTCTGACAGTAAATTACGACACTGGTGAGACTGACGACCAGCAGGAGTCGCGGAAAAGAGAGAGCACGCACGGCAGGGTTTTGGCTTTATTAAGACT